GAAGGAAGCAATTCCTACCTTAAAAAAAATAAAGATTAATTAAAGATATTCCGAAAAACAAATATGATAAATGTCCCAGTGGCCGGTTTAAGCGTAGCACAAATAATATAATTTTTAAACAAAATTTTAATTTTAGACCGTATATGTGAGAAACACAACCAATACTGGAAATTTAAATGCCTATTACGGTCGAAGAGAGAGAGAGAGAGAGAGAGAGAGCTGGATCTTCGTTGCTTTTAAAATAATTCAATCTTGAATTACTAATATATAATTAAGATAATAAATCTCAGTCATTATGATATACAATGGTCATTAAATGTAACAAGTTGAGTGTATGAATTCGTTTGAAGTTCTTGTAACATATTTGATATTAATGTTGGTTCACTATCAATTGTCAATCCACAAGTTGTAAGGAATTACCAAGTTCTGATTAGAATTTACAAAAGTACAAAATTATAAAGATATTTTTTTCAAAACTTAATTACAAAACAATAACCAATAATTAACATACCTTTACTCGTATGTGATAGGAGTTACAATTATTCACAAACACACTATTTCAGTCCTTATAAAATAATTTAAAATTATTAAGGATGGAAGACCATTTTAAATTTCGAGTATTGATTGTGTTTCTCACATAGGGGTGATCCCGATTAATCACGGCTCGATTGGACACCACCAATCACAGCGACCGGTGCTTAGGAGCTTTGTAGTCTTAAGCACTGTGAGTGACTCGTGTCCAATTGAGCCGTGTCCAACTGGGTGCCACCCAAGATCTTCTATATATCCGCGTTTCGGCAAGATACAAAATGCAGAAAACGAGAATGCATTTTGTTTGTAACAATTTTGATATTGGGTATGAAGAGCTGTTCTCACATGCTAATGAGGAACCACTCGAGGTTTTGAGAAGTTTTACTCGCATTCGTTGGTTTATTAGATATACATGTTTATATTGATTGCGGATTTTAAGAATTTTTTTCATCCTGAAGATGATTGAAAATAACAACCGAAACGTTGATTTTTTGTTTTTGATGTGTATGAATTAAAGAAGAAAAGAATTTTGTATATTCACACACAAATAATAACTGTGTTCTAGCTCTTATTTGCCTGAGTTTTATGTTTATATTAATATTGTTCATTGAGAGCTCTTTTTTATTGTTATTATCAAAAAAAGTTCATTTAATATATTGACACCAGTACTGAAACATACAGTACAAATTTTTGTATTAGCATTATAAGATCTTCAAATGATTTCACCTGGAATGATCTTTGAAAGTAAATTTCCCAAAACGGTTTATTCAGTGATGTAAGGCGATATACAAATATTGCCTTAAGATTCTCAGTTAGACTGTTTAAGGCATTGATTTCTATAGGATATATATTTCAATTCTTGCCTCTAATGTCTCTTCATAATCTATTGAATTATTTTGAAACGAAACAAATTTACAAAAATGCTGGTCAATTTCTATAAAATTTTCTGGATATTCTTTCAGGTTGCCGTGCCCGACGTTGTGGAGGCAGCAAAAGATGCCGACATTCTCATTTTCGTTTTGCCACATCAGTTTATTCGCACGTTGTGTTCAACACTGTTGGATAACATAAAACCAACTGCAGTTGGTCTTTCTCTCATTAAGGTACGTTTTAACTCTTTTTGTTTTTATGCTCTTAGATTAAGTTAGCCAATTTGAATTGAAGGGTTTTGGTCGAGATGAAGGAAACAGTATTGAGTTAATCTCCAAGATCATAGAAAAGCATTTGAGAATACAATGTAACGTTTTAATGGGCGCCAACTTAGCCAATGAAGTCGCCGAGGAGAAATTCTGTGAAACCACGATCGGTAAGTATTTTTAAGTACATATACATTCTCTGCTTTAAAAACACAAATTCTTTGCTTTACAAACATAAATTCTTTGCTTTAAAATACAAATTCTCTGCTTTAAAAACACAAATTATTTCCTTATATAATTTCGGTATTTTTAAAGCAAAGAATTCGTAAAACCCTAAAGTATTAATTAAAACTCTGAACATATTTTTGATTGGACCTTATCCTGCGAAAGGTGTTTACATGGTTTGAGATACTCTGTATACATAAATTCCGAAATATTCTAGAATGTCTCTCTCATTCTATAATTTCTGAAGAAATCTTATAAAATTGAAAAAAGTGTAATGTATTTTTTTCAGAAACCTTCATAAATTTAAAATAATAAAAATTCTTTATTATAAAAATATATCAGCAGATTATTGTGAAAATGTTTTTCATCAAGGTATCATTCAAAGATTAGAAAATTATAGGGTGCAAGGACAAAAGATTGGCACCGGTACTGAGGGATCTTATTCAAACTCCAAACTTTCGAGTAGTTGTCGTGGAGGATTGCGATACCGTGGAAATATGTGGAGCTCTAAAGGCAAGTAGTTTACTTTCAAAGAAAGTTTTATGTTACGAATTATCTTATTGATTTCATATACATTTAAATAATACTTGTATTTTCTCAATACTGTTTTGTTATTACAATTATGATCTTGTTAATTGACATTTCTACAACTTTTTATTCCATTTCGCTCATTAGTTTATCAAACCGAATATATTTCGGTTATAGAACATTGTGGCGTGTGCAGCTGGTTTTGTAGACGGCCTCGGGTTGGGCGACAACACGAAAGCTGCGGTGATTCGATTAGGACTGATGGAGATGGTCAAGTTTGTCGACACTTTCTACAGCGGTTCTAAGCTTTCTACATTCTTCGAGAGCTGCGGCATCGCGGATTTGATTACTACTTGTTATGGAGGAAGAAATCGCAGGGTCTGTGAACAATTTGTCAAGACTGGCAAGGTGAGAGATTCTAGTATATTCTTATGTATTTCTATTTATCTGTACGATTTACTGTATAGTGATAAAATATCTCACAAACTCGTTTTAATTGGGATTGAAAACTTAAATTATGCTCCCGTAATATTTCATCCAGATGGATGTAACTTGTAGTAATGCGCCTGCGCATACAATGGTTTTTAAAGTACCGCTAAGTCCGGATCTACAATAGGCTTTTAAGCTTTAAGCCATAAGAAATGGATGAATCCTAATCGATTATTCTTCTCGAATTCGACTGTAATTGGTCAATTTCTTACGACTTAAGGCTTAAAACACCTATTGTAGATTCGGACTAAAAGCCAAAGCTTAAAGCAGGGAGCACAGACTCTTGCATAACGCATAACACGTAATGCATAAAAAAATGTACCAATCAAAGTCCTTCGTTTCCTTCCTTTCCATGAAATAAAGAACTTATTAGATTTCCGTTTAATAATATTAGGAACCTTCGCATACCAAGTTTCACATGAAATAATCCACTCGTATTGAAAATCATGTATTACAGAGAGGATGAAATATAGGACTTTAACTCGAAAAATGACGATGTTCCCCGCATTTTCAATGAAAACTAATAGCACCATCATGTTCAGCAGGTCGAAATTTATAAGATTCACTATGTTTTACACTTTTTCGTAGTGGGCAAAAAACAGCCTTTTCTATACTATGTTCTTTAACATTATTGATATAGAAAATTATCTTGATGTTCCTTATACTTTTGACATCTGCATTTCACGTATGCACACTCTCATCAACTTAACGCAGGATCCAATTTTTCACAATTAATATGAAGTTCTTTCTCTCTTTTCAGTATTTCCGAGTATTTTAATTTGTATAAAAAATCTGAAAAATTTTCTTTAAAAAATTATAAAATGTACATAGAAATTTTATAATAGACAACGAGGATGAACTGATGCCTGCAGCGTGTGAGCGCGAAAACAGAACGCACCCTAAGTAACGTATAATATTAATATATTAATATATCATACAGACTATCAAAGCATTGGAAGATGAACTGCTGTCCGGACAGAAACTACAAGGGCCAGCAACGGCAGACGAAGTCCACGATATGTTGAAAGCGCGTAACTTGATGGACAAGTTCCCGCTGTTTACCGCAGTGCATCGTATTTGTACTGATCAACTGCGACCGGCGGATCTGATCGACCAGATTCGCAGTCACCCTGAGCATGTGTAAGACCTCTATATAGGATTCAGCGATAGTAGATTCTGTTAACATTCACATTGTTTTTTTTTTATGCTAGATTCTAATTCGATCATAGATATCTAGATTGTTAATACGCGAAAGAATGCATCAACAGATCACCATGTGAGAAAGTTCCGACGCATGTGCAATGAAGAAGCGCGTTCTGAATACGGGCCACATTATATGTATACATTGTACTAGATTGCTAATATATCTATTACTACAATAATTTTATTTCTAATTGAAAACAGGAATGTTTTAAAAAAATTATGATTAAGTTATCCTGTTTTATCACGCTTACGTTACTTTAGGAAAAATTTCCGAATTAGCTTCACGAATTGCAAATTTGTTTATAGAATAAGAGAACGCATAAAAATAAATCCCGCAAAACCGATTTCACCAGAAAACTAGAAAAAAATTTTTTAATTTATTTTTTTTGAGAGAGAGAGAGAGAGAGAGAGAGAGAGAGAGAGAGAGAGAGAGAGAGATGCTACTTTTATTGAAATCCATTCCTTCAGGTTCGCTCCAAAGACCCTCTTTATGTACTGAGTCCTCCTCTTCCTTCTTGTTAAGTTCTCGAGTAGAGATTATATTTGCCTCTATTCTACAATCCTTACTTCTTGTACATGTGAATAATTACACAAAATATATGAAAAAGGTGAGACATTTAAGCCAATCGTCGTAATGAAATAAATATAAAACAATTTTCTTATGTTTCAGAATGAAATTGGAAGAGGGAAATACATAGTTTATGCAAAATACATGAATTTAACACAAGGTGTAGAAACGGCTTATCAAGAAGGAAATAATTTAGCCACCAAAGGCTTGTACATAATTTGAACGTCCCCATTGTAATCTTATTATTGTAAATAAAGATTAATTATGAAATGAAATAGCATTTTACTATCAAAGCCACTAAACATGTGTATTTTTCATGTTATATAATACATTATTTACAAATTTTAATTTTAATTGATCAGATGTCTAGGTGATTTCATTGTAATAACTATTCATAATTAACTTTAGTTGATTCTTATTCCTGTTCGATATTCTTCAATACCATAGATTGTGAGTAGCTCAATTTTAGTCTTTGCTTTCTTTGTCTAATTTACCATCTTTTTGATCCTTATATGGCACATTGTCTACCAAGACATCTGGAGTAAGTCGCAGCGCTGAAATTATAATTTAAGTTTGCTTTTTCGATATAAAATTATCTAACACAATGTTTTATTTATTAGTCGTAATTAATGATAATTACCTATTCTTCTAGGTGCCGTTTCGACCGCTTGTATGACAGTCGTTCGTATTTCACATTCAACTTCCTGAGCGAGTTTATTTAACTGAAATAATAATAACGCAATATTTTTGTACAAATTTCATTTATAAGTTTAGATATATGTGTAAAGTCCGCCCATAACATTTCCATTACACATTAAATGCACGTTTAAAACAAAGAGATATATACCTCCGCAATCACTGTCTGGTTTGTGACACTTTTATATTTTTTGTATTCTTTGTTTATCTGATCCCTCACAACTAATGAACAATATAATAAAATATTACTTATTGAAAATGAAAGATTTATCATTATATCAAAGTGTAGATTACTGACAAAGTGTATATTACCTTGCAATGCATATTCGTCGCCTTCAAATGTCTTTAATCTTGTTCTATGAAGTTTCTTGAAGACTCGCAAAATCTGAAAATAATTATAATCTTGAAAGTAAACGAACAAGTGAAGAAATAAATAAACTGAAAGGCAACAAAAGTATAACTTCCTAGTGACTCTCGAAATTAAAAGACAAAGATACAAACAAATGAGAGTATAAACATGATATAATTAGAGAGCAATAGTCTTACAAGATGATTTTTAGTGTTTTTTCTTCTTATACATGAAGTTTGTACGTTTTGACTTGGTTTAGAGTCTTCATCAGCGACTAAGTATTTACAAATTAATTAGAAAATATCTCTTCTTTAAATGTGTACAGCCACTACAGGAGATAGATTCCAAGTGAGGTAATTTAATTATGAATTTTAATTTTAAATTCTGCAAACGTGAATGTGAATTAAAAAAACTGAACAAATATGAATGTCTAATGCTCGTATTCATAGTCAGGTTCAGTCTCCTGACACTCCCATTCATTTCTTGAGTTTGGTGTGACCCATAGACTTATAAAATAGACTGAGCATTCATACGTGAGAAGTTGAAGACAACATTAAAGGATTTATCTCATTATTCTGTTCATTATTCTGTTCATTGACAGTATATGTTTCATACGCAGTATAAATTTCGTATAACATTTTATTGTTGTCAGCAATTTCCCAGCACTTCCCAATATTATAAATAGTATTTTTTTCTTTCAGATACATCCAAAAATACTGTGATATCAATTTTTTAGATTAACTTAAAAACTCAACAGTTAGATAATCTTAAAAATCCAGTATATAATCTAGTAATTATACAATTTAGCATACACACTTCAAAAATCAATAAAATTAGATTCTTTCATTATATGCAAAAACGCGGAAGGCCCGTCTACAATACACGGAGTAAGAAGTAAGAGTAAGAAATTGACCAATCACAGTCGATTATTCTTCTCACATTCGACTGTGATTGGTCAATTTCTTACTCTTACTTCTTACTCCGTGTATTGTAGACGGCCCTTGAGCCTAATTTCATCGAAATCGAAGGTGAAGTAACCTCAATAATTTTATTGATTTTTGAGGTGCGTATGCTAAACTGTATGATTACTTACAATCTAAAAATATTGATAATAAACAATGGCCTTAATACAATTACTATGTATAGAATAAGCATTAACTTATAATATATAAACAATAGTTAACCTCTCGTCGAAAAGATTCGCCCATTTACGAAAATTTTTGCACAATTATTACAATATATTTGTTTCACTTCAACTTATTGCACTATGTGTACTAGTTCAGAAAGTACAGCAATAATGGCTCCTGCACACTGAACGCGGAAAGGCCCTGCAGTGCCCTGCACACAATAGAAGGAATAAGGAATTAAAAATAAGGAATAAACGATTTCAACCTATCAGAAACCGTGTATTCCGGTGTATTCGATTTCTGATGATATTAGAATCGTTTATTCCTTATTGGGCCCGCGCACAATAGAGGAACAAGAATTATTAAGATTTCAACCTATCAGAAACCGTGTATTCCGACGTAATCAGTTTCTGATAGGTTAGGGCCTGAGCACAATAGAGGAACAGGAATTAGATATTAAGATTTTAACCTATCTTAATATCTAATTCTTGTTCCTCTATTGTGCGCAGGCCCTAACAGAGAAGCGCAACCTTTACATTCCGATGATACGAAGCAAAATCCATCGGAATCCTGTTTTCTGATTGGTTGCAGAGCGTCGTACGACGCTAATCGGATGCAGGGTGAATCCAGCATTACATCGTGTCCTCGAGTTTGATCTCCTTGTTTTTACTCCGGGAGGTAGTTCTACATGTAGCTGCATAACCTACGCTTGAATTTTAACCCGTCAATTTGCGTCAGTTTCTCCGACCATGGTTGTCTTCATCCATTAAATCTTGTTTGAAAAGTGCTGACGGGCGATGTCATAAGCCACGTAATATTTTCGAATTCTCGAGGAGGCCGCGATTCGCGGTGCTGTTCTTAAAGAGCTGTTCAGGAAAAGAAATTGATGTCGTTCCTGTCACTTAGGTGAGTGATCTTACACTATATAGTTTTCTTCAGCTTTGTACTATTCGGCGACTCGTCTCACCGGATGCCTGTGTAATACCCTCAGATTTGCAAGAAAGGATTGCGTAGTAATAGAGGAGGTGGCGAAAGATGTTGGTCAGCAGCCAACCGTGCAATCTAGTCACATATATTGTCATTCGCTAGCTTGCTCCAATGTTGACGCATTGAGGGACAAGCATTGAACGAGCGTGGATTTCGAGCTGCCGCGTGGGGAGTGGGGTGATGATGCAAAATAACTCCAAGACCAGAGAGATGTTTATCGTCCGAGCTTTGGAAAAGATATTGGCTGATCGAGATGTCAAAAGATCACACCTCTCGCAGCTTAGGAAGTCCTGCGAGTCTGCGCTTGGTAAGGAAAGACTTTGTATAATATATGCAACTTGTAGTTATAAGCAACACTAATGATTAAATTTGTTGCTTTTATATTTCTATCTTGCAGAGGATCTCCGCAATGAGATCAAAGACGTACCAGCTGTACAGGGTGAAGAGGTAACCTCAAATGCCCTTCCACAACCCAAGAGTGACTCAAATGTTATTACAGCTGAGAAGTACTTTCTGCCGTTTGAGTTAGCATGCCAGAGCAAGTCACCACGTATCGTGGTGACAGCACTGGACTGCTTGCAGAAGTTAATAGCATATGGCCATCTTACTGGCAATGTGCCCGACTCGACAGAGCCTAATAAGCTGCTGATTGTACGCATTGTCGAGACAATTTGTGGCTGCTTTACTGGTCCACAGACTGACGAAGGTGTACAGCTGCAGATTATTAAAGCCCTGCTGACTGTGATGACGAGCCAGCATGTGGAGGTGCATGAGGGTACAGTACTGTTGACAATTCGTACGGTTTACAATGTTTATTTGGCATCACGTAACCTGGTGAATCAGACAACAGCACGTGCAACCCTTACGCAGATGATCAATGTGATCTTTGCGCGAATGGAGACTCAGGCAGAGGAAGATAATATAAGAATCGATGGAGAGCATCAGCAGGAAGTTCCTGTCATAGTGAATGGTGAAACTGAAACAGAGTTAAGTTCAGAGAATGTTCCTGGTAATGATTCTGTTGATCCCCAAATAATTGTCAGAGGTATCCTTGATGATGTAGTGAAATCCGTGGTACCATTGGAAGAGGAAGTCAATCTGGAAAATGGCAGTCCTGAAGACAATGGTGACGAGGCAGTTGCTGAAAATGACAACATGGTAACTGCCAAATTCACTCATGTGCTGCAAAAGGATGCGTTTCTAGTGTTTCGTGCTCTCTGCAAGCTCTCTATGAAACCACTGCCAGATGGCACGCCTGATCCAAAATCGCATGAGCTCCGTTCCAAGATCTTATCGCTTCAGTTGCTTCTGGGAATCCTGCAGAATGCCGGTCCGGTATTGCGTTCCAACGAAATGTTCGTTATCGCCATTAAGCAGTATTTGTGCGTTGCACTGTCAAAGAATGGTGTGTCTTCAGTGCCAGAGGTGTTTGAACTATCATTGGCATTGTTCCTGGCTCTGCTTGCACGTTTCAAGATGCACCTGAAGATGCAAATCGAGGTATTTTTTAAGGAGATCTTTATGAACATCCTCGAGACTTCTAGCAGCTCCTTTGAGCATAAATGGATGGTCATACATGCACTTACGAGGATCTGTGCAGACGCTCAGAGCGTTGTCGACATCTATGTTAATTACGATTGTGATCTTTCGGCAGCGAATCTCTTTGAAAGGCTTGTCAACGATCTTTCTAAGATTGCTCAGGGTCGTCAGGCTTTAGAGCTAGGTGCGTCACCAAATCAGGTGCGTTATAAGCGGTGAAAAAAATGACAAGATAGATGTATGGGTGTATCCAGTATTTTTTTTTTTATAGGGGTAAGGGTTATCAATTTTATTATTACATAAACAATAGTTTTTTGTGCTAATAAATTACTGTTTTCGATATTTCAGAGCTCAGAATATCTCTTTTGTATCTGATTTTGAATGAAAAAAATATTAGGTTTTGTAAATCATAATTTTCATTTTTTTTCCTAAAAAAAATATAAACAAAATACAATAACAAATTGAAGTAATATTTAGTTTGAGAATTCTTTTAATTAATAGAATAAAGAACAATATAAATCACGAGGCGTTAGGACTCAGTGCTAGAACGATATTGTGCAAAAGTATAATATACAATAATATAAATATACACAAATTTAATCTGAACAACTTGTTCAGAACAATAAGTTGTTCAGAATCGATTAAATTTATGTGATTTATATTGTTCTTTATTCAAGAAAAATATAGTTATTAAGATTTTATGCAAAATTTTGCAAACATTTTTTTTATGTATCAAACTTATTCAAAGCTTTAGAACTAATAGAAGCTTCAGAAATTACATGGTCGTAAATATTTAAGATAATAACGGTAAACATACTGACGATTAAAAGGAAAGTTGTATTTCTTTATAATTAAAAGTGAAAGAATGAATAAAAAACTTCGAGAATTGTTTAAATCCTTCTCCTCCTGGACATGCCCATGAATAGGTGTATCATTTAGTGAATGTTTTTCAACAAAACGATATCTAGATTAATATAGTATTTTGTCCTTCCAGGAGAAGTCCATGCGCATCCGTGGTCTTGAATGCCTTGTATCTATTCTCAAGTGCATGGTGGAATGGAGTCGAGATCTCTATGTGAATCCCAGTGTACCGGCAGACCAACAACCTCAGCCTCTCGTCGGCCAATTCCAGTTTAATCGGTAATAAGGAGGTACCGGATTCGCCGGAGCAGTATGAAGTGCAGAAACAACAGAAAGAAGTATGGGAGACTGGTATCGAGATCTTCAGCCGAAAGCCTGGCAAGGGCGTGCAGTATTTGCAGGAACAAGGATTGCTTGGTACTTCGCAGGAGGACGTAGCTAGGTGGCTGCACCTGGACGAGCGGCTCGATAAAACCGCCATTGGGGATTTTTTGGGTGACCATAATCATAATCAAGTAATGAGAAGAAAAATTACAATTAATAGACTATATTAATTGAATCAATGAGTGCAGAAAGGGGACAAGTCATTTATTAAATTTTTTTTAGTATTAACAAAAAACTGTTTAATTTTAGTTAGTCCAGTAGAAAATTAACAAAATTATTTTTAAAAAAATTAATTTAATTGTGATATTTAATAATGTTTTTGAAATATTATGAGTTCCTAAAATGCTTGTTTATTAAATGAAAAACTTAAAGTTCAAGATTGGATTCACCCTTTTTGCACTCAACATTTCTTTTGCACTAAAAAAATTTATAGTACATTATTAAGATACTTTACTTATCTGAAATTGTCTCTTTATATGTTAAAAAAATATGAGATAATTTACACAAAACAATTTTGAGTTAAAGCATTGACTATTAAAAAATCTTTCTAGTTGCTTTTTAAATTTAATCATTGACCATTCAAAAATCTTATCAAAAAAGGATATAACTTTCCAATTTTTCCAATCTTGCAAGTCTTGCATTTAATTCCTTTTTACACTCATTGTTTATTTTCAACGCCTATTTTATGCCCTTGGAAGCCTGAGAGTATTCTGTTTGCACCAAAAGCGTAAGATTTAAAATTAATGAAAAGAAATTTATTTTCGAAAAAAAAAATTAAACTCATCCCTTTTCTACACTTGCCGATTCAATTATAAATGCATAAATAGGCCATGATTTGTCAGTTCTGATCACGTTATGATTGTGTGATAATTATGTTGATAATTAATTTAGACAGTGACTAATTTTGTATACCGTTTATTGCAGGTAATGTACCATTATATTGACCAAATGAATTTTGCCGATCGCGATCTAGTAACCGCGCTCAGATATTTCCTGGAAGGCTTTCGGTTACCTGGCGAGGCACAGAAGATCGACCGATTGATGGAAAAGTTTGCTAGTCGCTATTGCGAGTGTAATCCTAATAATGGCCTTTTTACAAGTGCGGATACAGCCTATATTCTTGGCTTCTCAATCATAATGCTGACCACCGATTTGCACTCGCCGCAGGTTAAGAATAAAATGACCAAAGAACAATACATTAGGTACGTTCAGCAGTTTATGGTGTTAATTATAATTTACAATTTTAATTGTCAGCAGTAAACTTGAAAACTCAGGACGTTCTTTATAAAGAAAAATTTTTATGATCAATGTTTCGAAAATGTCGACAGTTGCTACAAGAATATGCGATAAAAAAATAGGAAGTTTTATTTAAAAAAATGTAAGGTAGCTTCCACCTGACCTTAAAAATTCAGCCCGAGATCAAATTGTTATGCACATCTAATATAAATAATACAATACTCTTAACAATATACAGAGTGTCCTGAAATCTATGAATCAAATACCCTAACAAGAAAGTTCTTGAAAAAAAGTTATAAAAGTATTTAATATATAATAATTTATGATATATAAAAATGCATAGCGATTGTGCTCTCTATGTATTTTTTTCATATATATCTTTTTAATTATAAAGAGTCTTTTCTTATTTTCTTTCCTTTCATTCATCAGGCTTAATCGGCGCAACAGTGACAATGAGGATCTTCCTGAGGAATATCTGTCTAGGATCTACGACGAAATTGCTGGCAACGAGATTAAGATGAAGTCAAATCCTAATAATAGCCGGTTTGCCGGAAAACAGCTGATTTCTAGTGAGAAGAAGCGACGGTTGTTATGGAACATGGAAATGGAAGTAATTTCTACGGCGGCAAAAAATTTGATGGAATCCGTCAGTCATGTTCAGGCACCGTTTACTACAGCGAAACATTTGGAACACGTGCGGCCGATGTTCAAAATGGCCTGGACGCCGTTTCTTGCAGCCTTTAGTGTTGGACTTCAAGACTGCGACGATCCAGAGATTGCGTCGCTCTGCTTAGATGGTATTAGGTAGGAAGAAAACATAGAATGAAGAAAAACAGATTTATACCATGCTATGCTTTCGTTGTTTTATATTACCTATGTGTTATTTTAGATGTGCCATTCGCATCGCCTGCATCTTTCACATGAGCCTCGAACGTGATGCCTATGTACAAGCTTTAGCGAGATTCACTTTGTTGACGGCCAACTCCCCCATTACCGAAATGAAAGCGAAGAACATCGATACTATCAAGACTCTTATCACAGTAGCTCATACCGACGGCAACTACCTAGGCAGTTCATGGCTCGATGTCGTTAAATGCATCTCTCAGCTGGAATTGGCACAGTTGATAGGCACTGGAGTACGGCCACAATTGCTGGGTCCACCGTCAAAACCGCACTTTCCCTCGCCATTAGCAAATTTCGGCAGTCTCGCGCACTCTGCAAATTCGCACCAAACCAACAATCTCAATCTAAGCTCGTTGGATCCTAGCGTGAAGGAATCCATTGGCGAAACTAGTTCGCAGAGTGTCGTCGTAGCCGTTGATCGTATCTTCACTGGCTCGACAAGACTCGATGGTGATGCCATTGTCGAATTCGTCAAGGCTCTCTGTCAGGTATTTATCTCTTAAGTTCAATCAATGATTTTTACATGAATACTAAATTATATAATAAATATTTAATAATGTGATAAATAATTTTCAGGTATCTCTTGAGGAGTTAGCACATCCCACGCAACCGCGCATGTTTTCTCTTACGAAGATTGTTGAAATCTCATATTACAACATGGGTCGTATTAGATTACAGTGGTCTAGAATCTGGCAAGTCCTCGGTGACCATTTCGACAGGGTGGGATGCAGTCCTCGACAGGATATCGCGTTTTTCGCGGTGGATTCTCTGAGACAACTAGCTACCAAGTTTATCGAAAAGGGCGAGTTTGCCAATTTTAGATTCCAAAAAGATTTTCTTAGACCATTTGAACACATCATGAAGAAGAATAGGTAATTTGATTCTTTTAATTAATTAATTTTGATTAATTTAATTCAATCGCAATTATATAATGAATATAATCCGACGTGTTATAATTTATGTAAAACATTTTTTATAACATAAGATCAATTTATTAGGATATGTTAAACTTTTATAAAAGTTTTACAATATATTCCAAATTTTAATATATCCAATAATTGTCTAATTATGGTGTAATTTAATTTAATGTGATTCAGGTCGCCTGTGATTAGAGATATGGTTGTGAGATGCGTAGCGCAGATTGTTCATTCGCAAGCACCGAATATCAGGTCTGGTTGGAAGAACATTTTCAGTGTTTTTCACCATGCAGCCAGCGATCGTGATGAATCTGTGGTCGAGTTGGCCTTTTCCATGACCGGCAAGATTATTAGTGAGTTACATTTTTGTGTTTACTTTAAGACAGTTTAAGAGATAGTCGCTGTGTTTTTGTCTATGGTTTTTCTCTTTAGTCATAATTTAAATTGATATATTTTAAACAGATAATGTGTGTGTGTGTGTTAATTCTGTAGTCATTATATCATTATAGGGTGAGTAAAAAGTCTCGGACCGGTGAAATATCTCAAAAACAAAACATTTTCAGAAAAAATGATTCAGATAAAAGTTGTAGGATTTAAAAATATCTATTTACTGGTCTGGGTTTAAAAATATCTACATCTGTTTGATTCTGAACAACATTAAAGAGGTTTTAGCCGTCAATCAGACACTTTGGATAGTGTTAACTCATTAAAACTTGAAAAGTACTTAATGAAAATGAACTAAAAATCTTGACATCAGCTATTAAATTTTGGAATAAAAAATAGGTGTCCTATTTAAAAAAAATCAATATTACCTTGATCTGACATTTGGCGACGCCGTCCAAGGTCAAACAGATGTGATCAGTAAGATCTTTTTAAACCCTACAACTTTTGTCTATATCATTTTTCTTAAAAATGCTTTGTTTTCGAGATATTTTACCGGTCCGGGAATTTTTACTCATCTTGTACAATTTGAGTGTAATTTTTTTCTCAGACGAGTTATATGCAGAGGACTTCAGTATTATGGTGGACTCTTTCCAAGACGCCGTCAAATGTTTGAGCGAATTTGCGTGCAACGCTTTTTTTCCGGACACTAGCATGGAGGCAATTCGGCTAATACGTTCCTGTGCTTCTTATATTGATGCAAATCCCAATTTATTTGCCGAGGGTATGATGGATGAAAGCGGGATGGTCTCCGAGGAAGATCGAGCTTGGGTATCGTTATCTTAGCTCGTTTATTAGCATTTTAATCGCTTGACGTAATTGTTATCTTACTCTTTTTTTTTTCTTTTAGGTGAGAGGATGGTTCCCGCTGCTGTTTGAATTATCTTGCGTTGTGAGCAGATGTAAGTTGGATGTCAGGACACGCGCGCTGACAGTATTATTTGATGTCGTCAAAACTCATGGTGCATCCTTCAAGCCTCATTGGTGGAAGGACCTCTTTCAAGTTCTTTTTAGGATCTTTGATAATATGAAGTTGCCTGAACAGCATACTGAAGTTCGTATAATTTCTGAGTTTAAAAAAAGGAAAATAAATGCATTTCTTTTGAGATTATTTGAACACCTAAATATTTAAATAATCCATTAAATGTTGCAGAAAGCTGAGTGGATGACAACAACGTGCAATCACGCACTGTATGCCATTGTGGATGTGTTTTCACAGTTTTACGATATCCTAGGTCCTTTGTTGCTAGAACAGCTCTATTTTCAACTTCTCTGGTGTGTTCAGCAAGATAACGAACAGTTGGCACGATCGGGCACCAACTGCTTGGAAAATCTGGTCATTAGTAACGGCATCAAATTTGATGAACAAACTTGGCAGAAAACTTGTCAATGTGTCTTAGACATTTTCGAAAGCACTCTACCGTCTGCGTTGCTCACATGGAAACCACATTCACCAAACAAGGAATCGGACCTCGACGTGATTACCGGCGAATCCGATGGTTTTCATATTGGCATTTTGAAGAGGAGCAACAGCGTACAAAGCTTGAATATTGAGATCTTGCCGAAGGCAAAGCTTTTCTCCGCGTTGCAAATTAAGTGCGTAGTCCAGCTTGAATTAATACAAACTATCGACAACATTGTTTTTTATCCGGCGACATCGCGCAAGGAGGATCAGGAGAATTTAGCGCTCGCGCAAGCCGACATGTTGAACGGCAAATCGTCAGAGCTTGTAAAGTGAGTGTCCTGTCACTGTGTCAATATTTTAAAATTGTATAATATACAGTTCATACGCAATGCAAATTGCTTTTAGGGCTGGCGCTGATCAGCAGAAGGAGGAGCAAGGTATGTACTGCGCTCTGACAACCAATCATCTCCTGCAGTTGGTAGAATGCCTCCTACGGTCGCATCGCTTCGCTAAGAGTTTCAATTCGAACCACGAGCAACGCAACGTGTTGTGGAAGGCTAGTTTTCGTGGCAACATGAAACCGAATCTACTGAAGCAGGAGACGCAATCGCTTGCTTGCGCACTGCGTATTCTCTTTAAGATGTACAGCGATGAGGCGCATCGCACAGATTGGTCCAAGATTGAGGCGCGACTGGTTGAGGTAGCATGCGAGGCTCTGGAGTATTTCCTGGCGCTCGCCAACGAGGCTCACCGCGATGCCTGGACTCCTATTTTGCTGCTGTTGCTCACCCGAATTATCAAGATGAACGATCATCGCTTCGCGATTCATGCCTCCACCTGTTATCCCTGCCTCTGCGAGGTTATGTGTTTCGATCTCAAGCCCGAGCTCAGATCGATACTGCGCAGATTTTTCCTCAGGATCGGGCCAGTCTTCAGAATTACACAGCAGTAATGATGGATTATCGGACAGGTATTCAGGATCGTCTCGAACAGGGTCGACTGATTGGCTGCAACATCGCTCACAAAAGAGACGATATTGCATACCCGTCTCTACGGCGTGGGCGATAGGATTGTAATTAAATGTAAAGCGCGGTTAGATACTTTAACTCGTGTTGAATTATTTATGTACGATTCAACGACTTTCACATATATTTGTATACTGCATCGAATTTTCTTAGCATGTCTTTTTCATATAGCATTGCACAAACGCTAAATGTGATTCGGATTTTATCACGTCTATTTAATGTACATACATATTCGTAATATATTAATTGCATTAAATTGAGCACATAATGGTTATGACGTTATTAATCAATAAACTTGTAATATAATTGAATGTTTTATTCATTATTATTTTATTTATATTAGTAAACCATTAATAAGAGTAATGTTGATACTCTCACATCCTACATTTAGCGCTAAATATGCGAATGCACATTATTACACACCTTCACAAAACGTTTGTTGCAAAAATCGTTGGATCGTATATGAACGATTTAATATCACATGTACACATGCGTCTATGTAATATAATTGGAGTATATATATGAGAAATGATGCGGAAGGTTGATAATTGGCAAATGTATTTCCATTCAATCAAAAGTCGTTTATAAGATTTAGGATTCAGATGCGATAATTATTCTTGTAGAGTTTTTAATTTCACATGCTTTTAATTCATCAAAAGCCCAGACGATTTTTATTTTAAATTCTTGTAATTCAGGTTCTGATAAAAATTTTTGGACAGCAATTAGCACTTGAGGATAAAAAGAGTTGCTCTTTCTACAAGTCTATCGGTGATGGAGTAAGATTTCTGGAAAAATGAATATAAAAATGAAGAGAGATGATGAAAAAATAAATGATTCTTTTTAAGTAAAATATATCAATATCAGGGTTCGGTAAAATAATACGACTTATTTGAAAAAAAAAAAAATATATATATATAACTGGTTCCAAGAACTTATTTAAAAAATACAAATATTATTTGAGTAATCTATAATAATTATTAGAAATACATCGGATCGTAAAATTATCGGATATCGAATGTTCGATATCACATTCTTTCGGATATCCGGTCGAATATCTCGAGCAAGGCTTCTAAAAAAAAAAGAAAAACAAGGGGAAAATAGCGACAATAATTTTCTTTATCTTCCCAATGTGAAAAGAAAAAGAAGAAAGATGAATTGTGCAAGAAGTTTAGTTGAAAAGAATAAAATGCTGCATTAATATGACACAAACTTTTAATATAAAATTTCAGCCGAATATATATTATATTATCGGATACTAATGATATTCGGCTATCCGACCGGATAGTAAAAAAAGTACCGGATAATACGGGATACCGGATATTTTCCGGATATTCGGAGCATCTCTAACAATTGTATCGATTTATTCTATTAAAAGAATAGATGAATCATTTATTAAATATTTGTCGGTAAAAAAGCGGAGATCGCTTTTTATACCTCAACTTTTAATCTTTATCTTTTTTTCCGGATCTCCCAGTTCATTGTAAACTAGATTTTCGGAAAGAACAATTCTTTTTACTTCTAAATACCAATTACTATTTCAAAATTTGGATTAAGACTTGAGTTACAAGAGTTTAAAGCAGAAAAGTGTATAGGCTACATTACTTCACTTGAAATTTAATGGATTAATGCTGCTTTGAAGAAAAAGAATTACTAACTGAGTAGACATCCATTAATGATGAGGAAGTCTGATTTGAAGATCTGACAATCAATCAAGAGAGTATCGGATATCATTAGTTTCGTTGGCTGCTAATTAATTTAGTTTGTTTTATTAAATTATTTTATTTAAACGCGATAAAGGTTCAGAAGGAGAGAGAGAGAGAGAGAGAGAGAGATGCTGTTGTCAATACGTAGGAGTGCGTAGGAGATCTCTAAGATAACTAAAAAAAAACGTTATCATCATTAGAATCTTTGCATATGTATATTTGTGTCAGAGCAAAATAATAATATAACGCTTAAATAACTTACATATAAACATGTATACACATATATATACATATATATAAATATATATATGTATATGTATATAGTAATTTTATGTGATTCTCTGACGTGGTTCGAGATCTTATTTAAATAAATTCGATGGAAAAATAAACGTTTTATATTACATGCAAAATACCCTCCTCCTCCTCTCTCCTTCTCTTCTATTCCTTTTTTATACTTGTTTATAGTTGTATTACATTGCACTTTCATACTTAAAATAAAATAAGCAGGTACAATCAGGCCATATCAAGTTCATATCAGACTACGCAGAAAAAGATTGAGGATTAAGAATTGAAAATTAGAATTCGATTAATAAGATAATTTTAATTTTAATCCGTTTCATTCTAATTGGTTGATTTTAACCTTCAATTCGCAATCCGCATTCTCTAATGTATAGGTCTGATACAAGCTTTATTAGATGTTGGAACATATGGACGCGAGCAAACCTAAGAACAAGTCTTTTTTTCTTCCTCCTTTCTTTTTCTCTTTAAATTTTCTTTTTTATTTTCTTTTTATTATTTTTTTCTCTTGTTTGTCCATGTTTTTAGAGAAGTATAATAGTAATATTAGTAATAAATGTGCTTTATCTTTAGAGGTGCCAAAGGTTTGCTTGCCCACAAGCGTTGTGTCAATAATTATGGGACATCCTATATATCATTCTATCCTTGTTTTATATATAGCAAATCTAGCAAACAATGAAGATAGAATGACAGAAATAGCGCTAATAGCGTCCTCCCCAAACGCACCATATCTCTTTCTTTTATCTCGCCATCTCTTTTTCTCTTTCGCTTTATTCGCTTGACAACCGATTGGAGTAACAGCTGTTCGTCAGGTGAAAAAATTGGCGGGAAACCGGCAAGTAGAATCCTAGCAACCGAGTGGCACAATGGCACCGTCGAAGTTCTGGCGACAAGACGAAGTTCGCGTTTATGACCGAATTTGGACATCAGGGCCGATTCTCCAGAACTTGAATTGCAGCGAGCGCAGTGTCGATCGCTACCTGCCTTGTCTCCATCATCACGATGACGACACGTGCCGACAGCTTCATCAAGGAAGAGGTTAGTTATACGAGCACGGTCTGACTCGTATTCTTTTTTCTTGGTCATATTTCGCAATCCTGACTGCAGTCTCCGATTGTAGGTATCTGCAGAACCCGCTGGATTGCGTCGCTCACCTAGGAACTTGCCGCAGCATCTAAAGGTGTGTACGATGATTCAACAGTTGATGGTGGCTATTGGCAACTGGCAACAGGATACATAGCCTCGCGCGAGCACGAAGTGATGGAGCATTTTTTACTTTCAAACTTAAATTTGGATCGAATACATTGGAAATAGTCTGATTTGTTGTGTTGGAGATTCCTGTCTCGAATAGGAGTTGATGAACTTTTTATTTAAAGGGCCAAATAGTAATTATTTTATTACATTATAGACTTTGCAGACCAAGAGAATTATAGATATTTCCAAAAACTTCTTAAGAGGGTATTCTCCTTTGTTTTTCCTCAAAACAGCATTTTTCAACCGCATTGACATAATATCTCGAACTAAGTGTCCAATCGACTTGAATTTTTGCGTGTTCATTTAGTATATGTTTTTTTATAACTAGAACTACGGAATTTAATTTACGATTATTCCATTTTATTATATAAAAAAAACGAAACAAATTTATAGATTAAAATCAATACCATTTTTCAAAACATTACCGTTTCAGTAATTTTCATTTTTTTTCTTATATTCTAGTTTCAGTAATAGTGTAACTTACAATTTAATAATTTCTTTGGTTTTTTGGTTTCAGGCTACTAGAACTAACGGAATGACGTCAATGCGTCAAAAAGAAATTTTTTCATACGTCTTGCGCATCACCGCGTATTTTTTTTTGTATGATACATATGGACATGAAAAAATAATTTTTTAATATCTATTTTGTACAAATAAAGTTCCAAAAAGTTTCATATTAATTCATTTTTTTGTTTAAATTCTTGAATAATCATGTAATTTTTAGCCTTACAAAAGAGAATACCCCCTTAATTAATGAAATTTAAAATATGATGGTAATAATAATTATCTGTTCAGGTCATTTTATGTTTTACTTGAGAGATCCAGAAAAAATTTCTCTAAAAGGTACAAATTATTATTGATTTTTTACTTCTGTATAGGAAAAGTTGAAGCAACCAGAACCTGAAAGAGAGCCTGACATAAAAACTTTGCCTCCGATTGTTTTCAAGGGATGCATTCAATATGCTGATGACTTCTTTAACTGTGCTCAGATTTGTGACGATCTCATGTGAGTGCAGAAGACATAAAATATTTCTCAAAAATGCAAAGAGATAGAAATGAATCTGGAACAAAGAATAAAGCTGCTATTTCATTTGTGCGTTTTTGTCATATAACAAATTTTTCAAGCCTATTGATTGGCTATAAGATAAAGAGATCCAAAGATCTCTCTGTCTTATACACATTTGTGATCCAACAAAAACACACAAATAAAATAGCACCCTAAAGCCTGAACATAGATATAAAAGAAATTTGAGATAAAATTTGAACCTGGGTTATATATATTTTTCTAATCTTTCTTCTAGACAAGAAGTGAAGCGCAGTGAGAAGGAGATCGTGCCAATAGGTTTCGATCTGGAGTGGCCATTCAACTTTCAAACTGGCAGCGGAAAAACGGCGCTGGTGCAAATTTGCTTGGAGGACAGCGTGTGTTATCTCTTGTATGTCTATTCGCTGAAGAAGCTCCCAGCAGCATTCGTTGAACTTCTGTGTCACTCGAAAGTCAAACTCGTTGGCGTCAATATTAAAAAGTCAGTAATTATTAAATAATCTATTTCTATTTTTTTTTTAGAGAATAGTATTTGAGAGATCAATTGTTTCCCGAAAGACCTTATTTACTATTTTTTCAACGTATTAGAGTAATAATTTACTTACAGATAAAAATATACGTATTATAT